GGGCTTTGAGGAGAAAAAAAAAGAGAGAAAGATTGGCAACAGATGTTAGCGCAGGGCCAATCTTCCTCAAAAAAAAAAAATTAAAACAAACAAAAAATTTATTGCTAAAAAATGCTAACCTTCATCTGAGCCTTCAGTGAGTCATACCCTTTTTTGCTGGTGGAGGGTCTTGCCTTGCTGTTGATGGCAGCTGACTGATCAGGGTGGTAGTTGCTGAAGGTTGGGGTGGCCGTGGCAGTTTCTTAAAATAAGACAACAATGAAGTTTGCTGCATCAACTGACTCTTCCTTTACAAACGATTTCTCTGTGGTATGCGATGTTGTTTGATAGCATTTTACTCACGGTAGAACTTCTTCCAAAATTGGAATCAATCCTCTCAAACCCTGCTGCTACTTTATCAACTAAGTTTATGTGATAGTCTGAATCCTTTGTTGTCATTTCAACAGTCTTCACAGCATCTTTACCAGGAGTAGATTCCATCTCAAGAAACCACTTTCTTTGCTCATCCATAAGAAGCAACTCCTCAAGGTTTATCATGAGATTGCAGCAATTCAGTCACATCATCAGGCTCCACTTCTACTTCTAGTTCTCTTGCTGTTTCCACCACATCTGCAGTTACTTCCTCCACTGAAGTCTTGAACCCCTCAAAGTCATCCATGAGGGTTGGAAACACCTTCTTCCAGACTCCTGTTAATGTTGATATTTTGACCTCTTCCCATGAATCATGAATGTTCTTAATGGCATCTAGAATGGTGAATCCATTCCAGAAGGTTTCCAATTTACTTTGACCGGATCCATCAGAGGAATCACTACCTATGGCAGCTATGGCCTTACAAAATGTATTTCTTAAATAATAAGACTCGAAAGTCAGAATGACTCCTTGATCTATGGGCTGCAGAATGGATGTTGTGTTAGCAGGCATGAAAACAACATTAATCTCATTGTACATCTCCATCAGAGCTCTTTGGTGACCAGGTGCATTGTCAGTCAGCAGTGATATTTTGAAGGGAATATTTTTTCTTGAGCAGTAGGTCTCAACAGTGGGCTTAAAATATTCAGTAAACCATGTTGTAAGCAGATGTGCTGTCATCCAGGCTTTGTTGTTCCATTTGTAGAGCACAGGCAGAGTAGATTTAGCATACTTCTTAAGGGCCCTAGGATTTTCGGAATGCTAGGAGAGCGTTGGTTTCAACTTAAAGTCACAAGCTGTATTAGCGCCTAGCAAGAGAGTCAGCCTGTCCTTTGAAGCTTTGAAGCCAGACATTGACTTCTCCTCTCTCCCTATGAAAGTCCTGGATGGCGTCTTCTTCCTAGGTCTTCTGGATAACCTGCCGCAGCTTCTACATCAGCACTTGCTGCTTCACCTTGCACTTTTATGTTATGAAGATGGCTTCTTCCCTTAAACCTCGTGAACCAACCTCTGCTAGCTTCAACCTTTTCTTCTGCAGCTTCCTCACCTCTCTCAGCCTTCATAGAATTGAAGAGTTAGGGCCTTGCTCTGGATTAGGCTTTGGCTTATGGCAATGTTGTGGCTGGTTTGATCTTCTGTCCAGGCTACTAAAACTTTCTCCCTACCAGCAATAAGGCTGTTTTGCTTTCTTATCATTCATGTGCTCACTGGAGTAGCACTTTTAATTTCCTTCAAGAACTCTTCCTTTGTATTCACAGCTTGGCTAACTGTTTGATACAAGAGGCCTAGCTTTTGTCCTATCTCGGCTTTTGACATGCCTTCCTCACTAAGCTTAATCATTTCTAGCTTTTAATTTAAAGCTAAAGACATGCGACTCTTCCTTTCACTCGGACACTTAGAGGCCATTGTAGGGTTATTAATTGGCCTAATTTCAATGTTGTTGTGTCTCAGGGAATAGGGAGGCCCAGGAGAGGGAGAGAGATGGGGGAACAGTGGAGCAATCAGAACACATACAACATTTATCAATTAAGTTCACAGTCTTATATGGGAGTGGTCCGTGATGCCCCAAAACAATTGCAATAGTAACATCAAAGGTCACTGATCACAGATACTATAACAAATATAATAATAATGAAAAAGTTTGAAATATTGCAAGAATTACCAAAACGTGATACAGAGACATGAAGTGAGCAAATGTTGTTGGAAAAATGGTGCTGATAGACTTGCTTGATACAGGGTTGCCACAAACCTTCAATTTGTAAAAAACACCATATCTGTGAAGTGCAATAAAGCAAAGCACAATAAAAAGAGGTATGCCTGTAATAAAATGTTAAGTTAAAACTTTAAGTATTGTTACTTTTTCTTAAGTATTGGTGCTTTTAATAAAAAAAGAACATTTTACAATTTAATTGTTGCTGTGACAAAAACCTCTCAGACAGAAGTTTAGAGAAGTGATTGATTAAGCTTTCTTGCTATTCAGTCTTATAGAAGATTTTCAGAATTGGAGAGCTATGTGTGTTGTCCAGAGTAATCTTTTAGTCAGTCAATACTAGTTGGACTTTTAAAATATTAAATTAAATTTGAAACAATGATGTCTTTAGAACTAGTCCTTCTAATCTAATAATTTGTCTAGTGCCTCAGTGCACTGTAGCAACAGGTTCCTGGATTTCTTTTTTTGAGGTCAACCTGAGATATCCTGGGGACCAAAACATCTAAGGAGAGAGATTGCTCTTTGCCTGTTGTTTCAAATTAGGTCTTGACCCTGACTCTCAAGATACTAAATTGAGTCCACTAAGAAGTTCTAGTGAAAGCACTTTCACATTGTTCATAACATACCTTTCATTCTTACTATGCTAATGCATTCTGTCCCTGACTTCACTCTCATTATGTGGTAGTGCACAGGTACACATAGGCTAGCATGGTACATAGGCCAAGTCTAGGGTGGTGGCTGAATTACTATTTAGCACATACCAGTGGTTTCCAAAGTCGAGTTTGTACCCCATGGATTCACAAAGTAAGTCATTGGGCTGTGTGAAGAAACTATTAGAACTTGTATTTATCTTTATCATTACAATTTTTAAAGTCTTCTTTTTCTCTGTATATAATGTTTATGCCAGTGAATAGTACATATATAGTTTACAAATAAATACATGTATATTGGGTATATGTACTCTAATTTTGTTTTTGCTAATGGTAGTGGGTGATCAAAAAATTTTTGAGACCAGATTAGATTCTTAAGGAGCATCTGGGCAAGGGTTTTTATTCTGTGATCTATCAGTTCCTCCATAAATGAGATTCATGATATGCAAAATTTTGTGTGTGTGTGCATATGTGTGTTTTTCTTGTGAAAAGATCCATGGCTCTCACCATATTCTCAAAGGAGTCTTTGACCCTAAAGGTCAACTAAACTACTTATTTGGGATCCCTGGGCTTAAACCACTGAAGTTTGTTTTGGAAGAACTGTATCTTGTTTACAGATAACTTCCTAGTTAAATTAAATGGGACTCTATTTGAAAAATAAAATATATAATTAGGTATGTATTCCTTTTAACAAAGTATAGTTTTATTAACGCTTCTATCTGAGAAACTGCAGCCACAAACGTTGCCGTGATCTCATGATGTGTGATCTATGCCACATTCTCTACTGGAGTCTGGGTCCCTTTTACCTTCTTTAAAAAGTTTTTTTTTTGTATGTTTTCATTAGTCTTCTATCTCTTTAAAATATTATGGTAGATTATTGTCTCTCAAATTCAACTACATTGGCCCTGGGTAGATGTGGCTACAAAAAACAAGTTTTTGAAGCCTCCTATTTTTATGACACTGTTTAGATATGAAGATTTTTCTGTTGTCTCTGTAAGATGCTTTTGTGGAGCGTATCCCTATAATAGGTGGTGGGATTGCATTGGGGTGGTGGGGATGAGAGTTAAGTTCAAAAGTCAGCTGATAAGGTGAAATTGAGTTGATCAGAGTTATTCTTGACCACCCATAAAATAAAAGCACATGATTTTGTTTATGCAGTCTTTTGTGGTTACAATTTTGTGTGGCCCCAAGTAGCTGTTCCGTTTCTTCCTTGAAGAACGTCAACAATCCTGTCCTCTCGCACTTGACTGACCACCTTAATGCTGTTTTACTTATTTATTCATTTACCAATGGTCAGAAAAATCCTACCATTCACATATTCTTTCCAATGAGTATTGGGCCTAAGGCACATGCTCACTGGATAGAATGTCTGCTTAAATTATTTTTCTAAATAAAAAGACTTTTTAAAAAATGTGTATAGGTGAATTTAAGTAACTTAAATGCATGGGTGATATAACTACACTCCATTTTCATCTTTGCCATTTTACTCCACAAGCCTGTAGCATCCAATTCAGATTAATAATGCTTCTTTTTTTTCCTGTAAAGGAATCATCCTATTTGTTTATTCATTTATGTAATAAGTATTAAGTATGTGCAAGGCGTTGCTCTGGGCATTGAGGTTATAGGATTGAAAAAGACAAAGTCCCCATTCTCATAGAACTTACATTCTAGTCGGGAAAGTAGGCAATAATTAAGCCAAAAAGGAAAAGAAATATTTCAGGTAATGTGTGCTATGAGGAAGCATAGTTAGGATAGAGGGCCAGCCATGGAGGGTCCAGCTGTTTTAGGTAGAGGAAACAGGTTCCCTCTGCGAGGAGGTGACATTTAAAGGGACCTGCGTGAAGAGAGGAGATAAGTGGTGGGGGAAGCATGAGGGTTTGTCGGGTGTCTTGGCCTATTTCAGTTGAGCATGCAGTGCCCATCCTCTCCATGTGAGCAGGACAGTAGGTTTCTTGTCCATGTAAGAGTATTCTTGAGTGAGTGACAGGGCATTCGTTCTGGCCTCATTGCCCATCACTTCCACGTGACTGTGGCATGTGGGTAAACTGGGTTAGGGTTGACTGAGGTTTGTTCCACGAGATAGCAATTACTTGATTTAAACTAGGATTCCCACTAACAGAAATGAGAAAGTTCATGGAATTTGATCTATCTGATTTGTACTTTATTTTGTAACATTTATAAATGTATTGTACCTGATTTTATTAAGGGCTGTTTTATTTATTTTTAACAGGAATCACTAGATTTGATCTACTTGGAGACTTTGGAAGGTTTAATTGGCTGGGAAATTTCTATATTGTATTATCCTACAATTTGCTTTTTGCTATTGTGACAACATTGTGTCTGGTCAGAAAATTCACCTCTGCTGTACGAGAAGAACTTTTCAAGGCCCTAGGTAATCCTGAGGTTTATGGCTATTTTTCTCTCTTTCTACTAACAATAATTTTGACATTTGAGCTAATTTTAAGTTTTCACCTGTTCATTTTTCCGAATGTGTAAAACCTTGGGGGTCACATTTCTGACCCACTACTTATTCGTTATCCTCTTGTGTAAAATTACTTTATGAAGCCTCAGCGTCCTCATCTATAAAGTATGATAATATCTTCTTCGTTTTAGGACTGTTGTGAGTATAAACTGAAATCATTCTCGTAAGGGCCTGAGCATAGTCCTGGCACATTTTAAGAGCTCAATCAATATCACCTGTTTTAATTGTTATGATGATGGTGGTTGTGGTGAGGTGAGGAGGATGATGGGCTAAAGGCTTATTTTGGGTAATGATATCACTTGCTAGTTTTAGTTAAAGATTGTTTTGAGGCCTGGATTTTACAAGTATCAGGCTGACCTGTAATTCTCTTCAGTAAGCCAAATAATAATTCAGGATAAAAATATTAGTATTCTTGGCATTAATAGGAGAGAGGGCATTCATTATCATGTGTTCCACGAGTTACATGCATGTGATAGTGTTAAAAAGTCCTAGGTTTGCCTAACATATAAAGGGTGTAAATGTAACCAATGAATGTATTTTTTTTTGTTTGCTTCAACATTAGTACTAGATATATTTCAAGCTTTGTATTTTAGGAATACCAGGACAATATAAACTGTCTTGCTATATGAACGTTCTTGGGTTTGGGATGTGTATTTTTATAATAAAAGAAGGGATAGGCAGTGATTATTGAAAGCTCATTTACCTGAATTGACATCATTTGAATGCTTATACTTCGTATTCCATTGTGGCTTTTAGCTATTGCAAAAGGCAACATGATGATCTTCATTAAGGTCCTCTGGTTTCAGATAATTTACACCCTATGAGCCACAATAAAGCCTCACACACCACCAGGCCTTTCCAACCCGATGATGGAAAGGATGACCTTTGGGAAGGAAAAAAGATTTCAGATTATCTATTCATGTGTATTTACTTTAAATTCACCCTTTGAGGGGGTGGCTGATGAAATATTGGCCTGAAAGGGAAGAGTTACATCTCATTTCAGCTGAAGCATCTGATAATTTATGGATTTTAATGTCTTGAGTTTCATAATGCTGGCCAGATTACCATCTACAAGATGAAGTGGGAACCAAATAGTCCTCTCAGCCAAATGTCGAGAGTTAAAACTTCCTTGTTAAGCCTGTTGTAGCCTGAGCAAGATTAGTTAGCCATAATCTCAGTTAAATTCCTACCTACCATTCACTAAAACGAGATGATTGTAAATGAATGGCAGTAAATTTAGCGTTTGAGTGAGGTATTCTGGATATCATCTTGCTGAGGAAGCTTTTATTCAAGTAGTAAAATATAACTTAACCTCAGATGAAGGTCACATGTGTTGTGTTGATTCTTTGACCATGAAAAGCAGTGGAATTATCAAGAGTTGTGTAAAACTTTTTAATATACAGATTTAGTTTTTTCCTGAAGTGTTTTCTATTATTCTTTGGAATGCTCTAAGACAACAAAGCCTTATACATAGAAAAAGATCCTCGTTAAGTACATATAATGTTTGAATGATCTGAGATCTTAAGATGATTTCACTGGGAATCACAATTTGATTATAAAATTTAACTATCTCGGGGCCAGCCCCGTGGCGTAGCAGTTAAGTGCACGCGCTCTGCTGCTGGCAGCCTGGGTTTGGATCGTAGGCGCACACCGACGCACTGCTTGTCAGGCCATGCTGTGGTGGTGTCCCACATAAAGTGGAGGAAGATTGGCACGGATGTTAGCTCAGGGCCAGTCTTCCTCAGCAAAAAGAGGAGGATTGGCGTGGATGTTAGCTCAGGGCTGATCTTCCTCACCAAGAAAAGAAAAAATAAATTATAAAAAAAAATTTATCTCCTTTCTGTTTTTCTCTTTTTTTGTAGGCTTTTTCCCTCTGCTACTCTGTCCATTGATAGTAACAGTATCTATCTCATAGAGTATTTTGTACAAAGTAAACACTCAGAATTTAGCTACAGGAATGGTGGTGGAGGTGACTGTCTCTGCAGAAGAGAGACACTGTAGTTTTTCAGAATGCATAGCCTGCACTGCACCCAGGTGTTAGCAGTTACTAACTAAAATCATCTATCCTAAACGGGGATTCTGCTTCAGTTAGGACACTGATTACCTCCCTGGTTCTCTGCGCCCACTTCCTTCTCCAGCAGGCCCTGTTCAACACCCTTCCCCACATCCAATAGCTGTGGGCTCCTGTGGTCACTTAGTGGCGTGGCCATTCTTGAGACCAGAGTTGTTTTCTGTGTTGGATTGATTTCTTTTTTCCTTCCTATTCATCTGTCATAGACAGGCTCAATTTTACTTTTTCTTTCATTAAGATATGCAGGTGATAGTAATTTTAAAATTTGGAGTGCTATGTTGGTTTAAGAGTGGTATAAAATTGCATAGCAGTCAGGTAGATAACCATCTGGAACTTTAGGGGAAAAATAATTGTATTCAAGTATGTTTTTGAGGTGTCACAAAGGTCTGAGCCTCATAAAAATTGTTTCCTCAAAATCTTTTCCATAGACGGCTACTTTTGTGTTCTTGAACGTCTTTGCTTGGAGCTTTAGTGCCACATAAACTCTTAAAGTTGCTTCTACCTTTTCTGCCTTTGGGGGCACAATATTGTTCTATATATTAGGTACATTATGTAAATAATTGCTGCATGATATAGAGGGAAATTAATGTAACTTAAAAAGAGTGATAGTTTTTTATTCTGTGAAACATCTTTGAGTAGTGAAATATTATTTATATTCAATTTGTTCTTTTGCCATTTCTTTCTCTTTTTCTTTTTGGTAATGTTTGTCATTGCTTTTTCTTTTTAATTACATGTTAATATTTTGGTGTGTCTTTCCATACGTTTTCCTTTGTGTATATACATACGTGTGTATTTTAAAACAAAAATGGGATCATACTTGTCTCAGGTTGGGTTCCCTGGCAAGCGCACTTTGGGATGGGAATAAGCTTGCAGGAGCAAGTTTATTAGAGGGTGCTCCTGGGATCAGAGCAGAGGGCAGGGTTGAGGAAGGAGCTATGAAAAGAGAAGAAGTGGGCTTCGTGCATCTCACCAGAAGCCTCAGCTGGCCCTATGGGATGTTGTGACGGAGGGATGGCCCCCAGAGCTGCACTGGATTGAGGAGAAGCCATGACTTCCTGCTAGGCAGTTGTCTTCAGCTTAGGCTCCCCAGAGGAGCTGCCAGTGGGGAAAAGAGATCTTTGATCCTGAAGGGAGTCTGGCCAGCACATCACACTCTCCACAATAACACTTCACATTCTGCCTTGTTAGTCTCCTCCTAACCCGTTGCTCAACACTCAACAATACATCATTTCTCACCATTTTCTTAATTTTTCTGCAGGCCTTCATAAACTTCACTTATCAAATACTTCAAGGGATACAGAAACAACAAAGCCTTCTGCAAATGGGCATCAGAAAGCATTGTGAGACACACAGCACCACTCTGCAATCAAGAGACCTGAGAACCCCAGATGCACAACATTCCCATCAGTCAGGAGCGCTTCACACTGACTGTGGTTCACAGGGCTTGAGCCTGTCAGGGTCATTTTTTTCATAGTCTACTAAGCACTTGGCTGTCACAGGTCTTCTCTTAATTTAACTTTGTGGTGGACCCTGTAGTTTCTAGCCAAATGCAGATTCCTTAGGGCATCACATTTCTTCTGTGGACACATTTGCTTGCATCTGTCGATACAATCACCCATTTGAGAATGTTAGAAAAGGCAGACTTTGGAGCTTTCTAAGGATTCACTTAAATCCCATTATATATTTTATTCAAAATGTAGAAGCCTACGTGAAGGGCATCCTCGATGCTTGGATGTGAGTGAAGGTTCTGCAAAAAATCCAGGTTTATAGATTGTCATTGTTATAGTGGGTGGAACTGTAATGGTTGCAGATTATATTTTTCACTTCCTTAAAAAAAAAAACAAAAGCATAGTTCTAATTTCTGTTACGAATGATATTGACTGGACTTTGAGTCATGGGAAAAATATGAAATTCTTTTCAAACCTGAGCCTTGGGAGCCACTCCAGGTGTGCCGTCTACTGTGCAGTGAAAGGCACTGCGGTAGGAATCTGATGAACCAGTTCACCGACAGCGCATGTGTATATAAATTCAGTGTTACCTCTCATAACAGAGTTGCCAGTGTTGAATACACTTGTAACTTAGATTTTGCCTTATAGGCTATATGTACACTCCGTTTTTTTAAGCATTTTTCCCCAAAAATCCCTTAATTCCCTGTGCTCCTGTGTCCATTATGAAACTATAAATGCTCTGTGGTAGAAGCCCCTTCTTTCACATTCTTTAGGCTTTCGTTACTTTTGTATTTGCCAATTTAAACCTTAGACTTAAAGAAGTTACCAGTTTAACACCAAAAATGCACAGCATCAGCATTCATGATGTAAGAATAGTTTTGCATTGTACCATGATCTGATAATCATTCAGTTATTAAATTGTAAATAATTCTTGGGATGGTTTCTTGACTTCAAGTCCAAAATAAAATTATACTCTGTGTTACCATCCACTAGGAAAGAGTATCAAAAATTATGCATGCAAAAATATGAGATGGGCCCATTTGCACATAATTCATAGTTATGCAGTCTCTCTAAATACATATGTTCATATGCACTATGTGTATGGCAATAGATTGTCTGTGTTCAGACAAAAGTAAAAACATTTTTCTTAAATTGTTGAACTTAAAAGTTTTTTGGGGGGAAATTTATGAAAAACAGGCTGTATATATTTGACATCAGAAATTTCCACTTAAAACCAAAATAATAAGAAAAATTAATCTGTATATTTGTAAACTTCATTGAGTATACTTCTTTTTTTATTTGTAGGTCTGCATTTCCTTCTGAGCTTCTCTTGTTAAAATGCAGCTTAGTTTTAAAATAAAAGAACATTTTGTGATTCTAAACAACACTTAGTAAATACCACCAGTCTAGTATTGGTGAATTTCTCAGCATAAGATGTGCATACTGAGAAAATTAATAAAAGTTGGTTGCTTTCTAATTTCACTGGTAATTATACCCATTAATTAATTGCAAGCTTTGATTTTTTTTTTACTGAAATTTGCTTGCAATCCATACTTTGAGCAGACCAGGTCAAGGGGAGAAGAGAAAGAAACTTCTTTAAATAAAAGAGTATCCATTTTAACTTACACGAATTTCAGGGCACATCCAAAGGAAGAGTTCTTGGGTATTTGTTAGATGTCTGAAAATTTTTGAGTAAAATATTAAACTTTTCAATGTCTATATTGGCTCTGTTAATTTGAAAGTTTCTTTCCGTCTGAGGACTTAAGCCAGGTTTGGATTAGTAAGCAGTGGAATGTATTATAAATTCCTAAAGCGCCTTCACTGCTATTGAAACAGAGGATACACATCATGTGGAGGGATGGTTCTGACCTGTGCGTCTCAGGTGCCCATACAGGTTGTTTTATACTCGGTCTGCCGCGTAATTACCACCACTTGAGGCTCCACCAACAACTTGTATATTCCTGCTCACATACACAAGAATCTTCCTCTTGAATGAGAGACTGACTCTAAATGCAGGTGTTGCTATTGGACACACGCTGGAGGCCGGCTGTATGAAACCTACGGCAGAAATGGGTGGCAGCACACTGAGGCTGAGCGCGTGAGCACTGGTGAGGACCGGCGCCTTGAGGCTTCCCTTGGTTGCAGCTATTGTGCTAGTGAAGGAGAAGGCGGCCAGACCTGCCATCAGAGCTCCAGGTGCCAGCAGCCAGATGGGTTCTGATCTGCTGTTTCCCTTCTGATTGGATGCGGGTACATCAGTGACCGCGTTAAATCCAGTGCTCCCTGGGATCCGTCTTAAAAGGGCCTTAGGCACTGTAGTTGCTAAGTTTCTTGAGGAGTCTTAGCCAATTCTTATCATTAATTGGTTCTGCAATATTTAAATAAGTTTTTTTTTAAATTATAAATTTTACAGGTTATAACATTTGTAGTGATTTTCACTGATTTTCCAAGATATTTCTTGGCTTTAATATTTACTTAGCTTTATTCTGTATAAAAATAGACCTCTAAATATGATACTTCATGTGAAAATTATACACACACACACACTAACGTTAGCTCCTTCAGTGCCACACCGAGGGGTTGATTAGTGGCTAAAGATGAAACCTTCCACGTGGTTTTGACTTTCGGATGCCTGAAAGGCACGTATACACCTGATCTCAGGGGCATCGACATCTGCCTCACTTTGATGGAGCACAGGAGACCTCCCTGTGGCCTCAGTAACCACTTCATCTGCCAACAACATAGGCTTACGTTGTTTGAAAATCCTATGTGGCTTTCTTTGTTGTTAGCACAGTATTTAATGTAATCAAGCAGAATTCTTAGAATAATTTTTTTAAAATATGAACATACATGCAGTACTGACTTTTTAAACTTAAAAAAAAACCGGTATGATGTTACTTTAAAATTGATGTTTAGATGTACTGGTGAATTATTTTTGTTTAGAGTGTCTTGTTTACAGATTGTCAGTCTTGTTTGTTTTTATGAGATACTTCTAGTGTGACTTTTTAAATGTCTTAGAAATTAAAGTTTTACAAAAAGTGACTTCATATTTTGGTTAACAAGCACTCAAATATGTTTTTTTCCTCTTAAAGACCATCATGGCTAAAACTTAAGGGTATATAGGTTACTTCCATTTCAGATTTATAAAGGGGTAGTGATTATTCTGGTGGAATGTTGAATTGAGGAAGAAGTAGATATTTTTCTCTCTTTTTGTTATGATTATATCAATTTTTTGCAACCTAAAATGTAGCATCAATAATTGAAATCATGTATGTTTTCTTATTTGTGTGAGTTATTTGGATTTGTTTGATTTCTCTAATTTCTTCTGTAGAAGGACTGAACCAATTATGGTCTGGGCAGCTTAATCCAGAGTTCTTGGAAGAGCAGATGCCATTAGCATCTGGTTAATTCACTGACAGACAGAAGCCGTTACACCAGTGGCTCTCAAGCTTTTTGACCAGAGGAAGAAATGCATTTTACACTGTAACTCCATACACACACACACACACACACACACACACACACACTTCTATACATGTAAACAAAAATTTAACAAAATAGTACCTGCTTTTACTACGTGGGATGCATGCTGGCTTTTCTGTTGTGTTTTCTTATTTTTCAAAATACTAGACACAAACCACTAAGTCATTTCCTGACCTCCTAGCGGATGGGAGCTTTAGTTTGATAAACACAACCTTGGATCTAGTGGAAAGAAGAACAAATACAAAGACCTTCTTTGGCTTTTGAATATTGTTCAGGTGAAGTTCATTGTGACAAAGAAGTGAGTGTATTGTATATGCAAATTATTTGTTGCACCGCAAAAAAAATGTAATAAAATCAGGAGAACTTGCTAAAACTCTAAAAAATGGATTGATTGTAAAATTTCAAAACTAGGTGATCAATCCATATGTCTTGAAGGAGTAGAGCTGGGAGCTAGTTTTCAAGAGAAGTTATTTAACTTCCAATTCTGTAATTCAATTAGGAAAAAGTTTTTCAAGTTCAAATGTAATCAAAGAGGAAATTTAGACAAAACGCAGTTATTCTCAGATACGACTTTGGTTTTGTGCTCTTCTACATGTCCAGAGGAAGTGAGTGGACAGGCATGAGTTAGGAAGTGCAGGGCAGCAACACCAGCTGTGCAGTTTCTGAGGACCACAGTGCAGCAGAAGAGTCGTTACTGTCTGAACATGAGGAGGCAGAGATTCAGATGTGGGCTGTGAATCTGAGGAAGAAAGTTTTATCAGCTACTAAAAACGCTATTTGAATGTTGTAATGTCCTTTCCTTTGAAAAGCTGTTATTAAAAGAAAGTACCACTCACAAACGATGACACCTGAGAGTCGAGACTGTGGGCTGCGACTGTAGCTGTTACACTGATCCGGCAGCTTTCCTTTCACAGCCTCTTGAAGTCGTCCACAGTTCTTTCTATATCGGCATAACAGTAGACTTGGAGAATCAAATGACAGAGAGATTATTGCCGATGCCAATGCCTGTCTCTTGCCTCACTTATATTTCCGTATTCAGAGAGTTTCTCTTTACCTTCTCTCTCTCGTACTCCATCTTTAATTCAGTCTGATTCATTTTTTCTTTTCTTTTTTAGTCATTACCGTGGCATCTCCTCAGACTTTGTGGGTGGTGAAAAGGGCATGGGGATGGGGGTGGGAGTGTGCTCTGCTCTTGTTCTCACACGGTCAGCCCTCAGACCCTCTGGGAAATGGGAATATGCATCCCTCCACTTTACAGATAAGGGGCCCAAACGCACAAAGGTTAGGACCTTTGCCTAAGGTCACACAACTAGTGAATTGAAGAACTGGCTGTGAACCAGGTCAGCACCACTCCAGTCTCACCTCTGCCTGCTTTTGGGGTTTTGGTTTCTTAGTGATTCCCATCAGTTGGTTCAGAATTTTCAAACACCAGATAATGAATTATTCATCGCAAAACATAATCAAGTGTTTCAACACCGTCCCTCTTCCAGTCGTCTGATGTGCTGATAGGGGATTGAAAAAGTGTGGCAGAGCCCCAGTTTCCATATTTCCAAGCCTTATAAACTCAAACAAACATTTCTTTCTAGATTAAATGCAGCTAAACATTTAATAATGCAGGCAACATAAGTA